ACAAGTGCCACGCTAGTAGTAACAGGTGCCTTACTAGTAGTAACAAGGTTCGCTAGTAGATCCGACGACCTTTTTATGCTTCATGGACTCCATGGATCTCCAAGGACCACATCCTGCACCAGAGATGCTTCTTGGCAGTCGTTGGGCGGCGGGCCTTGGACGCCAGAACTGCCAGGGGAACGCCGGATGTTGTCAGGCTCCGTGGCTTCAATCCCTACCAGAAAGCGAACCATTTCCCTGGCTCCTGGCAGTTGGGTCGAAAGGACAATCCAAGCTTTGAAGCTTAACAGGAAGGAAACAGAGTTTTAGCAGGGTTAAGGTTCTTCTTTCTCCATTTCTCCGTGCTCTTTGTGCTTCGATGTATTGTCACTTGATAATTCACAGTTCAGCTGGGGCGAAAAACATGCTTCCTTCATCAGGACCTTCTGGGCAAAAACATCTACAGGAGCGATTGGGGGCGCTGAGCCTTATGTAGCTTCTGGACAGAGATTCCAACGGATGAACTTGGACTCAACATGTAGTCATTCTTTGTGTAATTAGACTTGCAGATCCATTCGATAGATGTGACCTGCGCATGACCTGTCCCATCACCTTGTGCTCTGGTAGGATGAAGCGTCAATTTCCAAAGGATTACAACATCCTGCGGGGCGCTCAGAAACAGAGTGGACGACATCTGTCTTTAAGGCCCACAACGCGTAATCAAGTAATATCAAGTACCCATTCATGAGATGCAAGATATTCGATGAACGCCTTAGTGTCTTAGCTTACTCGTCTCTCCGTTGAATTTGCCAGAAAAGGTATACAATTATGTGACATTAATTCTTGCGTGGACTTGAAGTGCTTGACATCATTGCTGTTGTACTTTCTTCACCCTGAGGCCAGCTGGCTTTACTTTGCCGGAGGAAAGCACGGCCTGGTCACAAGCCAGAGAGAAGAATCCAAGCTCTTTGTGGATTTGGAAGCCTATCAACTTGAGCTCCGAGCTCATCTGTGTTTCAGCCACATGAAAATCCTTTGAAGAATTCGTCGCATTCTTCTGGGTGAAACGCCAAGGCTGTGGCAAGGGTATCCGTGGGCGCCCCAGCAGAAGCAGCAAGCTCATGTCTCACCTGTCAATCAGAGATAGATAGATTGCTGAGCAGCATAGGAATCCAGGATTGATAGACATCGGGAAATACATATCGTAAAGAACAGGGGGTGAGGAAGAGGATTGTGCTCCAGCAGGCTGTATCAATTCTTATGGTTGTTTCGAGTGAAACCCCTTCTACTTTAGCATATGACACTTTAGACAGGAGGGTGATTTTAGGGGGAATTCTATTCTTTTAGAGTGATATTTTTTTCCCGAAAGCATTGCGAAGGGTTCTTCCGGAAAATCCCTTGAACACTGACACTTCGACACTTACACTTACACACTGACACTTCCACACTTGCACTTGAACACTTACGCTTTCACACTTACACTTGAACATGAAAACATGAACACATGAACATGAACACATGAACACTATACGTACCCCAGTGTAAGTGGAAGAGTGAAAGCATCCAACGGCAAGTATCCAAGTGCAAAAGTATGCAAGTGTAATGATGAGTATGCAATGAGTATGCAAGTGTGAGTATGGAAAACTTGCACGGGAGATGTCGTAATGAAAAATTAAAAACATTTCCCCACTCTATAAATTCTCTCTTAAAGGCGGAGGGTGGGACGAACAGCGTCAACCGAAAATGCAACCCTCTGCGGAGATTGTGCGTGTCGAGTGCGCGAAATGCAGGCGAGAGTGCGATTGGATCTGTGCCCGCGCAACCTTCTGCGGAGATCCTGCGTGTCGAGTGCGCGAAGTGCAGGCGAGAGTGCGATTGGTGCGGTCCGCGCGCAACCTTCTGCGGAGATCGTGCGTGTCGAGTGCGCGAAATGCAAGGCGAGAGTGCGATTGGTCCGGTCTGCGCGCAACCCTCTGCGGAGATCGTGCGTGTCGAGTGCGCGCAATGCAGGTGAGAGTGCGATTGGTGCGGCCTGCGCGCAACCCTCTGCGGAAACTGTGCGCGTCGAGTGCGCGAAATGCAGGCGAGAGTGCGATTTGTCCGGTGTGCGCGCAACCCTCTGCGGAGATCGTGCGCGTCGAGTGCGCGAAATGCAGGTGAGAGTGCGATTTGTCCGGTGTGCGCGCAACCCTCTGCGGAGATGGTGCGCGTCGAGTGCGCGAAGTGCAGGCGAGAGTGCGATTTACCCGGTCCGCGCGCAACCCTCTGCGGAGATCGTGCGCGAAATGCAGGTGAGAGTGCGATTTACCCCGTCCGCGCGCAACCCTCTGCGTGTCGAGTGCGCGAAGTGCAGGCGAGAGTGCGATTTGTCCCATGCGCGCGCGTATCTGGGGAGCTGGAAGATGAGAACTGGCGACTTTGTAGTAAAACTTTAGTGCGCGGAGTATCTGGGGCGCTGGAAGATGAGAACTGGTGACTTGGTAGTACAACTTTAGTATGCGGAGTATCTGGAGAGCTGGAAGATGAGAACTGGCGACGTGGTAGTACAACTTGAGTACGTGGAGTATCTGGGGAGCTGGAAGATGAGCGCTGGCGACTTTGTAGTACAACTTTAGTATGCGGAGTATCTGGAGAGCTGGAAGATGAGAACTGGTGACTTGGTAGTATAACTTTAGTACGCGGAGCAATCTGTGGAGCTGGAAGCTCAGAACTGGCGACTTTGTAGTACAACTTTAGTACGCGGAGCAACCTGTGGAGCTGGAAGCTGAGAACTGGCGACCTTGTAGTACAACTTTAGTACGCGGAGTATCTGGGGAGCTGGAAGATGAGAACTGGCGACTTTGTAGTACAACTTTAGTACGCGGAGTGTCTGGAGAGCTGGAAGATGAGAACTGGCGACTTTGTAGTACAACTCTAGTACGCGGAGTATCTGGCGAGCTGAAAGATGAGAACTGGCGACGTAGTAGTACAACTTTAGTACGCGGAGTATCTGGGGAGCTGGAAGATGAGCACTGGCGACGTTGTAGTACAACTTTAGTACGCGTGTGGCTTGGTAGTAAACTGTGTAAACGCGGCGTGTCGCTTGTGAGCGGGATGATTTGTGGTATCATGTGACATGTTTACCGGGGAGCGCGAAACATACTGGCGTAAACGCGGCGTGTCGCTGGTGAGCGGAATGATTTCTGGTATCAAGAGCTTCCTATAAGAGTGACCCACAAGAGTGTCCTACAAGAGTGTCCCAGATAGAGTGTCCCACAAGAGTGTCCCGTATGAGTGTCCCACAAGAGTGTCCCACAACCGTGTCCCACAAGAGTGTCTCGCAAGAGTGTCCCTTAAGCGCGTCCCATAAGAGTGTCCTATAGGAGTGTCCCACAGAGACCCACACACAGACTCAACTCACTCGGACACACACACAGACATAGATACACACATAGAGACCCACACACTGCCTCAACTCACTCGACTTAACACTTCACACTGAACACTTAACAGATCACGGACTCGACACACTAGACTGAACACGTCACACCTATGGAAGCAGGACATACCATGACAACCAGCCAGAGCTCATCCATGAAAGATGCCAAACCAGTCCATAGAAACCAGACACTGGGTTGCCCATGGAGAAACCTGGCAGTTTTGGCGAGTGGTCAGGGTGAGGAACAACAGCCGCAACTTCACAGATGCCTACACCATCCAGATCTGCTTCGGGTCGACGCGCTAGACCCAGACCAGGCAAAGACCCTGAATGGAGGTGAAAAAATAACAAGATGTTCACATGATAACCAACTGCATGTCTCATACCGTGACTTCTTCCTGACAAATCCTGTGTGGACGTCGTTCTGCGGAAGCGCAACAAGTACTAGACATACACTATCTTTTCTGTGTACAAAGACTAGTCGCGAGCTGAACAGCGAGAGTATGCTAAAACATCTGCAGTGCCTGCTGTGTGTCACCTCATGCTACTTTGTCACGTTTTTCTTTGAGACAGTCAATTAGTCAATGACAAGCATTGTGGCTGGTTAACTACATCCTAGAAACGCTGTGTCCTGGAGTGAAGGAAACGTTGCCTCTGATCGTATATCGATGGATGCATCTCCTCTGACAGGTCACTGCTTCGACAAACTTGTTGCGTACCTGCCTCAGCAATTTTCTGTGTTCATTCCAGCTCGCTTTTTTCAGTGAGATTTCCTGCAGCTGTGCACGCTGCTTCTCCCCTTACCAGCAGCTCAAATGCTCACGACAATGAGCTGGGCTGTCACCGCTTGGCCGCCGGTGGGGGGTTTGGGAGGCCTGCGCGCTACTTCGTTCACGAGCCGAACAGCGAGACTACGCTAAACATCTGCAGTGCCTGCTGTGCGTCACCTCATGCTACTTTGTCACGTTTTTCTTTGAGACAGTGATTTAGTCAACGACAAGCATAATGGTTGGTTAACTACATCCTAGAAACGCTGTGTCCTGGAGTGAAGGAAACGTTACCTCTGATCGTATGTCGATGGACGCATCTCCTCTGACAGGTCACTGCTTCGACAAACTTGTTGCGCACCTGCCTCGGCAATTTTCTGTCTTCCTTCCAGCACGCTTTTTTCAGTGAGATTTCCTGGAGGCGTGCACGCTGCTTCTCCCCTTACCAGCAGCTCAAATGCTCAAGACGATGAGCTGGGCTGTCACCGCTTGGCCGCCGGTGGGGGGTTTGGGAGGCCTGCGCGCAGCAGACATGGACACACGCACACAGACAGGGACTCACACACACATCACACACAGAGACCCACGCACTGCCTCAACTTACTCGGACACGCGCGCACACAGACAGAGACTCATATACACACGGACATAGATACACACACAGAAACCCACACACAACCTCAACTCACTCGACTTCACACTTCACACAGAACACTTATTAACAGATAACTCACACTCTGACCTCCTACGTGATGAAAAATGCTTTCGGGCCACTCGTCGTCTAGTGTTTCAGTGGTTAGGAGTTAGGTGGCTTTGGTGGCTTTTGTGGCTTCTGGCTTTGGTGGCTTCTGGCTTCTGTGGCTTTTGTGGCTTCTGGCTTTTGTAGCTTCTGGCTTTTGTGGCTTTTGGCTTCTGTGTGGCTTTTGGGTTGTGTGGCTTTTGGCTTCTGTGTGGCTTTTGGCTTTTGTACCGATGTCGGATTGTGTTTGTTTTACTCTCTCTCTTGATGATTTTTCTAGTGCATTCTTTGCTTTTGATGACACTTCTGGACAAAATCTCTACTTGTAATGCATTTCCCCTTGAGAACCACACAGACCACCAAAAGCAAGAGAATTCCCAATGCGCCACTCTTGATGACTTTTCTGGTCAACATTTTCTAGTAACATCGCTATTTTTGATGAATATGGAAGACATTTCTATCGTGATGCCTGTTCTATCGAAATCTTTACTTTTTATGACTTGCCTATTGAAATCTCTATTAAAATATGTTTTAAGGACTTTTCTTATCAAAACTTCTACTTTTGATGCACTTTTCTAGTCAAAACCTCTACTTTTGATGCCTTCCCCCTTAAAATCTCTACTTTTGATAATTTTTCTGCTGAAACATGTTTGATGAACTGTCTACTGAAGTCTCTGCTCTTGATGAGTTTACTAGTCACAATCTCTTATTTTCACCCATTACAATTGCTACTTTTGATAACTTTTTAAATGATTTTTTATCTCCCCAAAATGAATGGTTGGTTGGGTAGGGACATTTAGGGTTTTGAAACATGTAGGGGTTACTCCTGATCTTGATGCCATTTTGGCTCAAGATCGGGAGGGATTTTTCTTTTCTGCCTCCGTGCCATGCCTCTGATCCACCGGGGGGCTCGACGGTGGCGACGGGGGCACCGGGGCGAAGATCCTTCCAGCCTATCCGCGGCTGACAGGCGAGCTGATTTGGGGGCCCGTGCTGCATACATTGTCGCTATTTGGGACGCTTTGTTTTGATTTCTTATTGGAGGAAAGGAGAGAGCACATGTGAGCCTTACTACTAGGAACAAGAAGCTACTAGTAACAAAGGGCAAAGCTACTATAGGGGCTCCTGGCATCGCTACTAGGAGCAAGGACGCTACTAGGGGCTCCCTAGAGTTTTCTTTCGGTGTTGCATCGCGACCGTCGTGTTTGGACACAACCCTCGTCGCCTTATACGGAGTGGCGTCCCGCCTCGATTCGTCGCGTCAACAAAAATCCATCTCGTAGGTGAGGAGGACCACGGATGAAAGATATGTTCTGTTTGTAAGCGGGGGCGACTATTCCTGCTGAATATCGTTATTGTAGTAGGGCTCCTTCTTGGCAGCATGCATTTGCAGCAGTGACGTGATCAAATTATGCTATAGTGGTGAATCCCAAATGAAGCACAGCTCCGCATGATGCGCAAGCTTCAGCCATCTCTTCTTGAAATCATCTTCGCTTGGATCCACCTATTATGGGGAAATTGAACTTGACAACACCGATTTGATTCAATTCCAAGGAACATGGCCAAGGTTCGTTCCAATCCAGCTCTCACGAGCAACTCACCTATTGATCTTGATAGCGGCTTCTTGTGCGGCTCAAAGGGACAAGCATTGGGGGCAGCTCACATTTGGGCCAGATTTCCTAACATTTCCTACTTCTAGTTGGGTCTTGATTCTTGGTCCTCCCTTTCCGAAACGTACAGCCCAAGAAAACAAGGGTCACACCCAAGCGGGGATCAAAACACAAAGCTACTATAGCGCGACCCTGTCTCCGGAACACTTGGTCATCCCCTGACGCATGCGGTGGTTGAAAACAGATCAGGTATACAGAAAAGTCAGACCAAACACTGCATGTATATAGTGCATATTTGACCACAGTGATCGAGGACACGGAGGTAGAATCAGGTAGAAGGAGATGGACAACCACAGAACATGCTTGTCCAAAATCCCAAATTTCCAGCACCCCGCATATCCCCAAATTACAACCTTTATAGAACACCAACAATTATGTCCAAAATCTGTTGGGAATTCTACTTCGAACCAAGTAGCGCTTCGGTGCTTACTTCGAACCTGCTAAGAACATGAGGTTTTTGACATGTTTTAACCACAGCGGATCCGTTGTAGCCCAAGCCCATCCCGTCGGATTTCCATCGACACGGCCTCTGCGGTTGCGAAGGTGAGTAATACGGTCGGTGAGTCATGCGGCCTGGCAATTCTATGCGCTTATGCGCTTGTTCATCCTCTTGCAAGGTTTTGCAATGGGCAAACCCAAGGTATATATCACCAGGTTTGGGTATGCGGTATTATGTTGTCCACTTGCTTTGGGATTTCTTAGTGCATTGACCTGTTATCCTCGTTTCATTAGACGACCCACTAGTGACTGGCCCTTATCTCCCTTTTTAGGGGAAGAGGTTTCTATTTAACAGTAAAACTTTCGCCAAGCTGGCGTTCCTAGTTGCTCTTTTTGAATCCTGTTCAGAGCCACGGCCAAAGTTCAATTCAAGGCTGAAGCTGCTGAACGAGGCTGACAAACCCTTTGAGGTGCGGCTTCTTAGTTCGGCCCGACGGACGGCCGAACGGCGGATCGATCGCCGACCTTTGAAACGACGACGCGGACGGACGACCCGAACAACGGTGGCGTGGTGATCAGGGGTTAGCTTGTTGCCTTTTTGGGAGGAAAAACATGAGCGCATGTCCGTCGTTAGATATGCAGGTCCAGATTTCTTAGGTGTGGCATGAACACCTGAATGCAGGCCATTGCCACGACGTTCTACAAGAATTTCAGCAAGGAGGAGAGGTTCAAAGCCGGCTGCGTCGCTTGGCTCGCTGGGGCATGCGACGGCGCAGGCTGTGTGGCCTTTCATGTAGCCTTTGCAGCCGTGCTTTGCTGGAGCAACGTTCGTCTCAGTGCGAGGGTCGGAAAAGTCAAAGAACACTTGGCGTATACGCCTACATTGGGGTGGTTTCAGGGTGGGCGCTCTACATGGAGTGCTTGGGTAACGGTGCCATCAGGTTACCCTGACTGATGAGACCAAACTGGGCTCAGTTTCGTGCTCTAAACTACTAGGGGTTGTTGGACTTTAAAACATTTTTAGTTTTAGATCCCTTCTATATAGTGGACCAAATAAGAGTCGTTGTCTTGGCCTCCCTGCTCCTGGTGGGCTGCATGTCCCTCAGCCCAGGAAATGTTCCGATGGCGACACGGTCACAGACGAGTTGGAGTTGGTCGCGCATGGTGAGAGCTGGTTACAGAATTGGAGCAACGCCAGGGCCCCTTGGGTTCAGAGGAGGCTTTTCAGGTCAAGGCTGGCGGTTCGCAACCATGTATGGTTTGGCCTACGGACTAGAAAGTGCAGTCGTTAGTTTTAACCGCTTCCCCCAGTTGGGCATTGCGATTGCACGACGCTGTACCTTGTCTTGTTGCGCCGCCTACTTTGATGATGAACTCGCTGTTGACTTTGTCCACCATTCGGATGTCTCGCAGCGCGGACTCCAATTGGTCTTTCAACTCATGGGGGCCCCGCCCCAGGCGGCCAAATCTTTTGCGCCGGGCCGCAACCGTCGTTACCTTCTTGGTACTTCTGTACATGTTGGAGACTTTGTCGACTCTGGATCCATTCGATTTCAACCAAAGTTTACCACGCAACAAAAACTATTGGCAAAACTGCGACTTGCGCTTGAGACGAATCAGCTTCCCCCGGATGATGCCGGGAAGCTACGGGGTGATTTAAACTGGATGTTTAGCATGTGCGCAGGCCAGGCAGGTAGGGTTGCAGGACCCACTCTGACCGCGTTGCGTGCTGCATCACCGGTTCTTTCCCCCAAGGACACTGTCGCCTGAAGCTCTTAGCGGCGATTGTGGCATGCCCCGGTCCTCGTGATATAGCAGTACGTTCATTGCCTTCACAACCTACCCTTATCTACTCTGACGCTTCTTTTGAACATGGCGTGTTGCGTGTTGGCTGGGTCATTTTCGGACAGTCGGATTCTCCCCAGAATCTAACCTGTGTTGTCCCTCCGGAAGTGATCCAGACTTGGGAAGACCGTTCGCAACAAATTTATCCTGGCGAAACCCTCTGTGGTCTCTTGGTGCCATGGTTTCATGGTGAAGCCTTGCGCCGCCAGGATGTTTTGTGGTTCAGCGATAATGAGGCAGCTGTGGCCTCGCTCATCCGCGGGTCCAGCTCTCAAATTTATGTCCATACCCTTGTTCAGGTAGCGCATTTCCTTTTTCAAACATTCAGGATTCGCGTTTGGATCGAATGGGTAGACTCTGAGAGCAACCCTTTTGACGGCCTTTCTAGAGATGGGGTGTGTGACACTTGGACTAGGTCACAACCCTGGGATGTGTCAGAGGTTTGCTACCCGGAACCACTCCGGTCCGTGTGTCACCCTGCACACCTTTCCCTCTTTTTTAGAGTACGTGGACTGTGGGTGATTTCAAAAGCAGTGGGTGGTATGTTAAGTTCATCAAAGATGACTTTCCAAGCTGGTCCGTGTGTTTTCTACCACGACTAATACCCAGTGTTATTTCATAACACTTCCCTCTGTTCATGTCTCCTTGAGTGTGACAGGTGCAGTTTGATGAGTAGACTCCTTTTCATTCGTGAAGGAAAAAGTAAGAGTTTGCACTGCTATTCTGTAAGTTCCCCTCATGTTTCTTATCTCCCCAAAATGAATGGTTGGGTGGGTCGGGTAGGGACAATTTGGGATTTGAAACATGTAGGGGTTACTCCTGATCTTGATGCCATTTTGGCTCAAGATCGGGAGGGACTTTTCTTTTTGCTCAAGATCGGGAGGCATTTTTCTTTTCCCCACCCACCCACCCTTGACACCCTCTGCGGGCCCTATAGCGTGTGGGGGTCTTGTCGGGACGTCATACACACTCCTGTGCCGGGTGGTATGTTAAGTGCATCAAAGATGACTTTCCAAGCTGGTCCGTGTGTTTTCTACCACGAAGCTGGTCCGTGTTTTCTACCACGACTAATGCCCAGTGTTATTATTTCATAACACTTCCCTCTGTTCATGTCTCCTTGAGCGTGACAGGTGCAGTTTGATGAGCAGACCCCTTTTCATTCGTGAAGGAAAAAGAAAGAGTCTGCACTGCTACTCTGTGAGTTCCCCTCATGTTTCATATTGAAATCTCTATTTTGATGAGTTTTCTATTGCGTTCTTTGCTTTTGATGACTCTTCTAGACAGAATCTCTACTTGTAATGCCTTTCCCAACCACACAGATCACCAAAAAAGAAGAATTCACCCAAAAAGACCAAATAACGTCCCGACCCTTTTGGACATATAGACATAGACCGACACAGGAACATTCTTTGCGACATGTTCCATGTGAATTGTTGCAACGGATGGTGACAGAATTTGACTTTGCAACCTTCGTAAAAAGAGCTAACCGACCTGCAAAATCAATTCCCACTGGTTCATACCACTGGCCACTTCGTCAAAACATGTCAGCCATTGTGAAGGTCTGAGTCTGCTATCCAGGTCTCTTCAGCAGTTCTATACCCCCTGGAGTCGAGAAGAAAATCACGCAGAGGCACTGAGAGCTTCCTGTTTTGCACTGAGGAAACTCATGGAACGATCTCTCATGAGGTGTTGTCATGCGTTTTTTAATGCACTGCACTCAGTTTGAATCTCTCAGATCGAAGCCAGGGCTGGTATCGTGCAACGGTACGTCGATCGACCGAGCTGGACTTAGAATTGGAACGGGGCTGCAGAAACCCGACATGATCTTCGTGAATGTTTTTTATTGAACTCGTTATGAATGTGCTTGGATTCTTTATTGAGTCTTTATTGATTGCGTGCATTCCTTTTGCCAAACAGAGACCCCGGTACGGAATTGAGGGTACAGTAGAGCCTCCAGATCCCAGCAGAGCCCTAAGAGTTCCATCGAGGCTGCTGATCAACGGCTTCAAGTTCGATCTCCGCCTTTATGTGGTGGTTTCCTGGATGCATCTATTTTAACATGAGAACGTGTTTGACACGAGTAACGGAACAAAAATAGCTGAAAGTAGCACTGGGGCCGTCTCCCCGATGACTTGGATTGACGAACTCACCACCTCCGATCCATCAGGTGACCTCCTTCGATCCCTTGAAGGCGAGATGAGAGTGGGCAAAAACCTGGCAATGACTAACACTATTGTAGGTTCGACTTTGAGATAAACACCACCCTCTTTTGCTCTGACTTGTTGATGTTGTCAGTTTGCTGTTCCACAAAGAGTTGGGAGTTGGTGAATTCATCACTTCGCGACTGTCGAGGTATACATTTATCAAGAGGGCTTGGTGCGCCTCGCCACGCAAAAGTATCAGTGCTCCGCAGACAGTGGGGCACCGAGAACTGTGTACCAACTCGTAGCGGCCTGATGCATGTCATGATGGTGCTTGTGAGCCGAGAATTGCCATGGAAGCAATAACAATGGGACTCCGGGCGAGGAGTTTCGACCCTTTTCAATACTTCTACAGTAGTTGTGCGAAAGCTCTCTGGTTGAAATTACTGTATATTTGGGAAGGAGATCAGATACCAATGTCTCAATTGTTACCGCGCTCAACAAGAAGCTAGAATTCACACACCTTTGCGTTCTTAAAGAAGCTACCGCCCTGGTTTGTACGGTTTCTCGATATTGGGTGTTAGACTCCAGGGACTGTGCTTTCTACTCCAGGTTTAGAGGAACGAACGATGCACTTGACGAACTACTCCATCAACAAGCATGCTGCGAGTCCAGAGACCCAGTTGATCTTGCAGATTTTTTCAGTTCAGCGGTGCTTCACCCAAGCCTAGGCTACAAGCAAAACCTGGACAAGAAGGAAGATGACACGAAATCCAAGGCTTTGGCTGGTTTTAGGGGGAAAAGCACATGCTAGTCAATCGAGAGGGCCAGCATTACTTGGGTGACGACTGAGTCCAGAGTGGCAGGTTGAAGCAGCAGAAGCAGATGCCCTTGAGGGTGAAAGTGATGAGGCTAGTGAGTGGGTCAAGAATGAGTGAGGCTGTGAGGCTTGCAAGTGGTTGATGTGAACAGTTGTATCAGATTCCAGAGGTGGCCACAAGTGTGGCGCATACATCATATACTGTACATCCTTTGGATTATTATGCATGTAGATCTACATTGTTGGAGACCCGTCGCCTTGTCAGTTTCAGGCTATCAGTGACCTGGGCGATGACGCTAATGAGGAGGTTGGGAAGATTTCACTCGCTTTCAGTGAATTGCTCCATGCTAAGGTAATTGGGATTCGGTGTTACACTGAGCTGCCCCTTACTGCTATAAGCAGGAATGCACATGCACCCTCATACAGTCCAGGTGTTTGTTCGTGCTCTTTTTTTGCTTCCTCTTAACACAGCCTTTCAGCCCAAGTTATGGTGTAGGGAAATCGTTTGTCAACAGAGAACATATATTATTGAGTATATAACAGTATATAATGAGAGAACACGCAAGCAATATAGTTTGCATACATGTTTGTGACTACTAGATCCTCCGAAGATGGTGCAAAGAAAAGATGACGTTGGGATCTGATTTACACTAAACACTGAGACTTTCTGGTGAATACAGATCCCCAATTCGGTTCCCGGGCCACCTGGGCATAGCCCCCTGATTCGCAGGATGCGGGTATGTGTTTTGTGAGGGAACAACTCGAATGAATGGAATGCTTTGACAAAGCAACTCAGGAGACGCACGCCGTTGGTGACTCCTCCAAATGGTCACTAAGGCACCGCCCTGCTTCAGAATTTCGCTGTCAACCCGTGGAACGTTTTAAAGCATCACAAAGCGTGGACGAATCTTTGGCGCAGGCAGCTGGAAGAACATCTCACAGCACAAGGCTCCATACATTGATGCATCATGCGCCGTCAATGGGGGTTTCTGTGACATGGGTTAGTTACGTGTATATTTAATATGCGTGCCTCGCATGTAGTACTAAGCATTTAGCTGTTTGTATGGTCCGTGGCCCAGGAGTGGATTACCCGCTGCTGATGTCACGCATCGAGGATGTGATCATCAAAACCCTCATCGCAGCAGAGTCCAGTCCTTGGGTTGGGTTTGGATACAACCCTGGTGCTTTGATGACATAGGTCTATTGTGGTGATGACGTCTTCCTATCATAGAATTGACAACATGCCAGTGGGTAGTGTGTGGTTCAGGCCGCAGATCGTGAACACCTGGCATCAGGTGACGGGGATGAAGAATGATGCAGCAACGCCTTCTCTATCCTTCTCTTGGGGTTTACCAGGGATAGGAGAAGGAGAAGGAGGAGGAGGAGAGGGAGGAGAGGGACGTGGGGGAGGCGGCAAACAAGTCACAATTTCATGACAATTCCATTGCGTTGCGGATGAAAGCTACATACCTATGCCCTTCAAAGATCCAGCGAATAAAGGAGTGCTTGAAGGATTTGCAATCTTCCGAACAGAAGACTCGAGCATGCCAGCCAGGGAGCCAACTACTCCACCGCCAGCGCGACGGCCATTCAGCAGGCACTCCGAGGATATTGGAACAGCATATAATGCAGACTACAGATCCGAATGAAATAGATCCATGGCTCGTTTATGTGCTGTTTGTTTTTCTCATCGCAATTTGCCTCTTTCCCTATCAGCCTATTGCACAAATTGCGTGGCTAGGAGCTCACGGCCTCAAGGGTGTTTGTGCCAGGTTTATCACGAGACAGATTCCATTTTGGCAGATCTTTCTCCTCACAGCTTTTCCGGAGACGCAAACGCACAGGTGACTCCAAACCAAACCTGCTTCGAGATCTACGGCCCTGGACTCGGGCAGTCAATTGTGAAGGAATCACAGTTTTAGCGTCCTTGTTCCTAGTAGTAAGGCCAGGAGCCCCCAATAGCGTCCTTGCTCCTAGTAGCGATGCCAGGAGCCCCTAGTAGCTTCTTGTTCCTGGTAGCAAAGAACTTTTTACTTTAACAAGTTTTGCTTGTGATACATGTGCACTCCTGACGATGATCTAGACGAGTTTGTGGAAAACACGAGCTGTTTATGTCAGCAACCTATAGATGATTCTAGGTCCTAGGTACACTGGGCTTCCCCAATCGGTGGAAAGGCACAGTTCAATTAAAAGAGCCCACAAGAAAAAGCACTCAGCTGGATGCCTTCGGGTATATAAATGATGTAGCCTCTAGGGGTGCTTTCATTCTGGTGATGTTACCTGTCCCTGTAGCCTATTGAATACATACTGTACTCAAACTGGGCAGGGAGTTTTAGTCACAGGTATTGAATGTTGTAACCACACTGAAGAAGCAAGAAAAACTTCAGCAGTACTTCTTACTTTCACCCTGATTCCTTGACCATGCAGCAACATGCAGTGATTGATGCTTGATCAATGAATTTTGCACAGACGCTCAGTTTCCTTGTGCAAGCCGATTCGGCACCACTCCTGACTCAACTTCAGTCATAAACAGATGAGAAAAAAGACTCGTCATTTGCAGGCTTTGATGTAATGGTGGATGAGGAGCTACAGCTTATGCCTCAGCTTATATGGTAGCCACGCAAGCTTACTTCGCAGCAAGCTGGACATGTCTAGGCTTCAGGCTTGCAAGAATGTATAGTGTTTCAGAGAAACTCGACACATTTTCTGTGTTTCGCATAACTCAAAGGCCAAAGACCAGGTTGCCACTACAATGCCAATGTCATCGATTGCATTGTTCCAACATGAGTGTTAGTCCCTTGTCAGAGCGTAGAGGTTTAACACTCCTACGATTTGCATGATTGCGAAACCATTTGCCCAAGCACTGAAGTTAAGTTTCCCTAAAAATCTAGGAACCTAATCATTAGTGCTTGCAGAAGCACGAGCTATCCTGCGTCCAGTAGGTAGAAGCTGACTCAAGCTATCAGCTACCTCTTCTACCTCTTAGAGCAGCCTACCCCGGCAAAAACAAAGTAAAACTTATTTTCCGACAATTCATCCTGGTGCGGCCAGGCCTTGGCTCCTAGAGGTGAATGTCTTCCCGTTCCTCGGCCGTGTTCGTTTCCACCTTGAGAAATCACTTTTTTTTCAGACCTTCTGGGGATGACATGGAGAATCTGATGGGGTTCTGGCTTGACAAGGCGATAGGTGTGAAGAACACCAAATGGATGTGTACAGCACGGCATTTTGCGCCTAATGGGCCAAATAGCAAGGTCATTTTCTTCGTCATCACCCTACGACAAGCGCATTAAGACCCAGCTCATAGCTGATGTGTGTTGGCCTTAGCTTTGAGTGATCCTGCAATGTCTTTTCTATGCAGATGCCCTGTTCCCGGATCTCCAGCAGCTTGCAGCACTTCATGAGAATCGTAGCCTATTGTAGCAATTTCAAGATCCAATCTTTATGTCACTAATTTGGAACTCGTTTTGTTTGGTATTTTGCCTGCGTGGACTTACTGCTATCACAGTGGCAGTGGCCCAGCCTAGAACGCGAAAGGGGCTCATTGACGTCTTGAGGTTCACTTTGATTGGGCTCATGCCGTACGATCATGACACGGTTGAGAAGACGTGCAAGGAGACATGCTGATTTGATCTATTCTATCAGCATTTGTGGGGCCATCGCTCTTAGGTTAAACGCTATCAGGTTGAAGGCCATTGCCATTAGGTTGGAGGCCATCGCTAGTGTTGTTTCCGGAGTTGACGCTCAGCTGTGTTTCCACCAGCTGTGCATAAGCTTCGCGAGCTTGATGATGTGTTTACTCTCAGGCATGAAGGATCCGCCAAGGTAGTTCCAGCCCATTGGAGTTTATTGTGTTTCTGAGCAAGGAAGCAACATTTTGTAGGTTTCCAAGGTGACTGTTCTGATAGGTTTCCAGGCACAGCCCTCTGAGACTAAGATTGGAAAATGTTTTAGAGAGCCCTGTTGAAGCTTATGGAACACTAGGGAATCTAGCCCCAATAGAATGTTTTTTTTCTGATTCTATTGAAGTCCTATGAACCTTTGAGGGGACAGATGTGCATGCTGAATCTTGTGTTGTGGAGATTTGTTGAAGCCGCTAGGTTACTTGTTCGCCACTTGTTCTCCAGCCGATTTCTGGTATGATTTTGCTTTTCTTCATCGGCGGGAACAAGCCAATTGGGTGAAACAACACACACCAGCTGGGGTTGACAGTAATTTGGACAGGAAGAGCTAGCCAAGCGACTTCAAGGCGGTCGAGGGGTGTTGCCATTTTTTGCTGCTCTGCAGTCACGCAGCCAAATCACACGTGCTCCATAGTTGTACGAACCAGCATTATGAGAGAGACTTGTGGTTTCTGCTTCCGCTTGAATCCGAGCAAAGCTGGTGGAAAGGTTCGTCCAGAAATCTGGTGATCAGTCGGTCCCACACAGCCAGGGTCATAGATTTTCCGTTTTGCCACATTCAGCTGTGACTTTGCAGGTTCATGGAAATCGTTTCACTGGGACTCGTTTCACCTGTAGTAGCAAGAAACTTTTTGGTATGTCTCTGATCGCTACTAGTAACAAGAAGCTATTCGGGTGGAGGTCATTACTACTAGTAACAATTCACGTGAGGTCTCAACAATCAGGACTGCAACTTTCAAGAGCTTTGGAGAGGCCTGCAGGGCCTGAGCTTTCATTCTTCGCTGTCAAGTTCTTGCCGTTCACGGATCTCGAAGACTTGGGTTTTCAGACGAGCGATGGTCGAATCATACCGAACAAGCAACTCACCAAACCAGTCTGTGGAGAAGCATTAGATGAGGCGGAGTGGCGATTGATCCTGGAGACTTACGAGGAGAACATGAGACGCGGGCATTTCACCCGGATCTTTCCCCGCGAGGCATGTGCGAAAGACCGCAACAAAGTGAGTTTCAGGGTGAACTGCAAGACCGGGGAGGAGAAGTTGGAATAAACACCGAAAAAGAGAATGTCTAAAGGTTGTTTGGAACTCTTAGAAAAGGGTGGGCTTCATTCTCTTCTAGGCCCCAGGCACAACAGACGCAGAAGGGAACGAACTGCCTTGTGCAGGGCAGCGGCTTCTACAAGCAGTTCTTCACCACACCCAGGCGCGATAGCTCTGACGACTGTGGGCTCGGCTTCGCTGCACCGTTTGCGCAGTTTGCATCAAAAGACCGATTGACATCTCAAAGAATGTCATGCCACATTTTTCTGAACTTTTCTTTCTTAAGTCTTTTCAGGTGTGTTTTTGATGCATATATGAGATAATTACGCTGCAATACACCACGTGGTGCTCAGGTACTCCAACTTGGTCCTCGATCGTTGGATCCAACTGGGTGGAGAGCAGGGACACCAAGGGAACCAATGGGAACCAGCCATTGACTGGATGTTATGAGCTTCGGAACCAGCCAACTGAAAACGATAAACTCTTCCCTGAGTCAAGTCTTGCTGGTTTTGCCTCCTTGGTGGCCTCGATGGTACCACTGAAGCCCGCCTGTGTGGCCATCAGGCACGGTTCAGCGATGGGGGGGTAGCACCAGAGTTACACCGGTCATTTCGCATGCACATACAGAGAGGATTGGAGACACAGCCTTTACAAGCAAGGCAGCGCTTTTCAGCTGATGACTTGGAGACCGTGTTGTAGAGGGCGGAATGATAAATGGTATGGTATGTTGCATCGTGTTTTTTTTGTCCCAAGGATTTCCAGTCCCTGTGAGCTTCAGAGCCGTGTAGTAAGTGCTGAATCACCCGCACCGCAAAGCATGGTGGTGGGAAAACAGATTGCTAGGTCTGGCCTGCTGTTTTTTTGGCACAATGAGATTGTCCCGTGGCCGTGACTGAGTTGTCTCAAAATAGTAATTTCAACAGTGCATGCGGCTCACGCGCTTTCTTTTATCCAAGGGAGCTTTCTGCAACACTCCGCAGCCGTTCCCATAGCGAGCGAAAGGCCCCCTGTGTGGGATCTTTTCCGATCCCAGGCCCAGACTGAGAGGTTGCATGGTGACCCATGCTGCAGGATAGCGAGTGATGGACCGACTTGAAGCATTGACTAATTCATTTTGATTTAGTTTAATTCTAATAGCTTTTTTGTTACTACTAGTAAGGCACTTGTTACTACTAGCGTGGCACTTGTTACTACTAATGAGGTTTCACAGTTTTGAGTTCATTTACAACTCTTGTAGAGGGAGCAAGAAAGCTACCAACCACTGCAGACCCCAATGACTAGTCGATTTGAGTCCTCGTTGCCGGAAGGCCATGACAGCGGCTGAAGCCAAGTTCTATCGGGATGGCCCACATGCCCAGCTGAAGGGACCAAGTCATTTGGGCGGTCAATCGAACAAGGTCTTGCAGGCATCTTGCTGGTTTGATGATCAACTGTTCCTGTAGCTCAGCTTGTGCAGAGCTTTGTTCCAGGATGTCAATACCTTAACATGATTTATCACCAGAGTCTCTTGGTGTTGGACGTGTGTGACAGACTCAGCACTGATGAATCCCTCGGTAGTGCATGGCTTCTAATGCAACGGTCTTTTCACACTGGGATAGCGGGGGGCTTGTGCACACATGTAGCGGATATGTTCCGGTACAAGATACTCAAAGGTCGATGCATGATCTCACACATCCCTTTTTGACCTTTGGTATCATGTGGATCTCTTTCATTCGTTGTAAACCACACGAACACGCAAAAAACAAAACTCACAACTCCAATCAAACTTTCTTTGGTGCCTTTCCGATCCATTTCAACAGGGTTGGATCTTCAGTCAACTTCATCATGTTCATTTGTAGGACTTTCCTTAACAAGTCCATTTTCACACCCAACTTTGTCAGCCCACCGACAAGCATATGGTTTGTTGGTAGCCAACGTACTTGTACGTTGTCTCGACCTACATCTCTTTTGACCAAAAGCAACTCTATTGCCATTCTCTTGTCTTTGATTGTCATGACTTGACCATTCAAATGATCAAACACTGGACGTGAATCCACAGAGATGGTCAGAGGTATCCAAGAGCTCCAGATTTTACCCTCTTCCAGCTTGTAGTTCTTGAACCTTGCCTCAGCCCACATTGATCTCACCCATTTGGACTCAATCGTTGGCAATCGTCCTGGATAAGGTCATGAGCTCTGCTCCCAACATCGATGCCACTGGTCGGTCCTGTTTGTAGCTTCTCCAGCGTAAAGGTGAAATCACAGCCCATTCATTGTCTCTCAGTCGTCGGTCTGTTGCACATATCACGTATCCTCCTTGGCTTTTCATGGATTCAGCATTGGCAAAGCTTGCATCTGACCATGCCGCAAATTCCAGGTGTTCTGGATTAATATATTTCACACGGATTTCGGTGTTTGAGAAGTCTCGAGCCAAGGCAACCAATCGGTTCACTTCTATCATGTCATTCAAACAGCAATCCTTTGTTGCAGCAGTGAGCATCCCGCTGCCAGGTCAGGTCTTGAACCTGTTACCAACCATTGCACTTCTCCTAACACACCTCTCATTTCAGTCTTCTCATATGCCGTGGTCTCTTTCTCTTTTTCTTTTCTTCTCTCTTTAGAAATTGGAATGCATTCCAAAGTCTCAGAATACTCCTTTTGTTGAATGACCACACTTCCATCTTCAAGTTGTCTCAATTGTTTTCCCCAAAACTCACCAGAACCATGTTTCACATGTTTAAAAGGGTATTTCTGTTTCAAACGTTCAAAAGAACTCGCAAAGAACTGGGGGGCACCACCAATTAACAAGTCGTTGACATGAAATGCAATCACTCCGTTTAAGGCTCCCGCTGAGGCCCGACTGTAAAAGATGCAATTGTCAAGTTCTGACTGCTGAAGACCTTGTTGTCGTAAAGTATTGGTCAAAGAGTTCCACTACAATCTGGGTGCGTCAACCAGTCCGTATACTGGCTTGATGAGTTCACAAATTGTCTCATCATATCCTGGAACTTTACCTGGTGGCAACTGAACCAAGATCTTCCCTTTCTGTCGTTCAATGTGGTCTCCTCGTAGGAATGCTCCCTCGACATCTGCAATCACTAGTTTCCACTGGTAACTAGCTATGAGTTGCGTCGCAACTGAAAATCCTTCATTGCTCAATGTTGGTGACGCTGTTTGCAATTCAAGGGCGTCAGGATCAAGGTATCCTTTCACACACCATTTGGCCTTGAGAACTCATTCAGGAGTCCCATCATCAGTGTAAACACATCGTGACTTCAAAATACGATCTTTACCTACTTCACCTTCCATCCTTTTTGCCTCCTGCCCTGCATGCACAACCATGGAACCTGAGTCGATGATTTTTCCCCATTCCTTGGATTTTGCCGCATTCAACTCGTTTCGTTTTTCCGGTGACAGTTGTTTTTCCTGCAGCTCTCTGTGTTCCACTTTTCTCTGTTTCTGTTCTACCATGTCATGCATCGTTTCCGTTTGGTCCTCGTCAAGTCCGTTACCATCAGTCACGAACACTGTATATGGCATCCCTTTTTGATGTTCAAGATGATCAAGACACAAGGTTTCATGCGGTTGCGAACGTCGAATGGGTGCTCCAAAATCTAAAATCTAAACTATTCAAGCTGTTCCGCATGGCATGTGTCAAAGAAGATGTCCTCACTGGTCCATACTCTGTGTTCTCAGTGCTCCACACTCCAGTATCGTTTGTTTCGTTTTCAAGTTCAACGCTCTGGGGCTCTGCTGCAGGTTCTTCCACCGACATTGGTCTCTCCTGTGCTGAACCTGTAAGCGACTCAAGATGAGGCATGGGAGCATCTGGTGACTGTTGCTCTTCAGCCTCTTGCTCTCCACTGTTATTTCCTTCAACCTGATTGTTTCCCACCTCCTGTTCTACCTGTTCCATTTCTACAACCTTAGAGCTTCCTTGCAGTCCTTGGTCTGTTTCGACCTCTTGCTCAGCTCTTTCCTCTCTTTCTTCCATTGGTGGGAATCCTTCTTTGTCAAGCTCAACAAGATTTCCATCTCACCACGCTCACGAAGTGTACTCTTCCACGATCTCAATGGGGCAACCAAGATGACGACAATTTCGGTATCAACATGTTTCACTTGTTGCTCACATCGGTACACCTTTGCACCACGATTAGGTCTACTCCTATGATATATGGCTCTTTTCAACTTACTCTCACTGTCTGCGTCCAAGAAGGCTTTCCTGGCCGATCTGATTTTCTGAGCCCTCATGTGTCTATCCTCTTTTTCATGCAACGCTGATTCCTGTGTTTCATTGCCTTCTCCAAGCATTCCCAACAATGGCACACGCACATCTGCACCCAACACATGCTGATGAGGAGAAAATCCGTCAACGCGAGTCATGGAATTATGTGCATAGTTCAACTGATCACATAGTTCTTCTGCCTCTTCCTTGGACTGCGGGTCGACCTCCAACAATGCTTTGCGAAATGCCACCTTCCACTCTCCTCCAAGTCGCTCACACACGCCATTCTGCCACGGTGCATATGCGGCCGTCACGGAATGTTCAGTTCCATCACCTGACAAGTGGTCTGTCCAACTTGTGCCAAATTCAGGTCCTCCGTCACTGATCACGGTGCGCGGTGCACCCGCCCATCTTTTCCAGTTTCGACGAAAGGCCTTCCTCACATGGCGCGCTTCAATGCCCTTCCACAAGGGAATGCAAGTCTGGAACCGTGTTCCGATATCAACAATGTTGAGAAGTTTCAACTTCCGCCATGGCAACTCAACTTCGAAAGTATCAACTGCAACCAATTCATTGAAGTCAAGGTTTTTTGATCGCGCGAGCAACATTGTGTGTCTTCTCTCCCTGAGTGGCATCACATGTATGGCATTTGAGTCCTTTAGCTATCTTGATGCACTTGTCGTTTGCTCGAGCGGCTTTCAACATAGCCACGCAGCGTGCTGTTGAAGGATGTCCTAAGTTCTCATGGCATCTCCTTAGTAGGATGGCGATCTTTTTGTCATCATGAGTGTCTAGGGCCTCAACCGTCAAAACACAGTTTGTCGCATGACTCTGCCTCCTAGATTCAACATCATCCAACAAACCCTTCAACATATTGAGACAAAATTCCTTTGGATATTCCTGAGCAAGCCGTGACCTATTGACCCAACCTTGTTCCGTTCTGACCGAACCCATGACATGTTGATGTGAATGTTTCCCATCACACAAAACCTGCATGCGTTTGGCAATTTCCACACAGTTAGTCATCAATCTAGTCCGTTTCCTTTGTGGTTTTCCGTTAGACACAATCCACCAAACCAAACATGCACTGGTCAACAGTCACTTGCGCCACATTGTCTCTCCTACTCACTCTCACGACCATGACTTCGCTCCATGGGGTTCAAAAAGGAAAAGATCTCCCCTATCCATTTGATCTTGCTCCTAGTAGCTTCTTGCTCCTAGTAGTATGGCCAGGAACCCCTAGTAGCGTCCTTGCTCCTAGTAGCGATGCCCTTGCTCCTAGTAGCTTCTTGCTCGCGCCAATTGCATGCTGTATCTCAAAAAGATCTTACTTTCCTGCACTCGTTTCAACCACTCTTTCAAGTTGGTGTATTGTTCAATTGGCTGCAAGGTTGATGAAACACCGCATGGAGGACACAGTATCAGCAATCGTGGTTTCATCGTTTTGGGTTTCACTCGCAGCTCTTCCCTTTTGTCGCGATCTCTGAAGTCCCATCCTGTCAGGATGTCATATGAGCCTCCACTGGTCAAGCCAACATCTTCTGCTAGCTTGCACAAACGTGGAACTGAAAACACCTCTGCCGCACTTTCCATTGCACTTTGTGCTGGAGTTATATATAAACAGTACGTCCAAACGGTCATGCATGTTGGACTTCCTAGTCCATGCTCTCTCCAGCTCTCCCTCAAGGA